ACAAAAATCCAGTTGCCGTCAAGTCCATTCCGACTCGTGGTGACCCCATGTGTGCAGACTCCATGGGATTTTCATGGCTGTGACCTTTCGGAAGCAGATCACCAGGACTTTCTTTTGAGGCACCTCTGGGTGGACTTGAACCACCAACTTTTTGATTAGTAGCCCAGCGTTTAACCGTTTACACCACTCAGGGACTCTTTAGGCAGAGAGAAGGCGTGAGAGCCGACAGAGTAGGCAGAGAGAAGGGTATTGTAGAAAGAACTTAGGTTTCGTGAACAGAAGGATCTGAATTTGAAGTCTCACTTCTCGACTCTGGAGTGGTTTGGTAAGAGCCTGAACTTTATCCTGTAGGCAATGATCGAATGGATGTGGAGAGAGTATTAATCTGGCAGTCAGCTGGGAGATAGAAACTAAAGTCAGAGTGTTTATTGGGTGTGTTCAGCTGTTTGGTGAACATAAGGATGAATGAAACTCAGCTTCTGTTGCCAAGAAATCTCATTTCATGGACAATAGAGAGGTAAACAACTCACTGAGATTCCAAGCTAAAGAGAAACCAGCACTAAACAGATGTATAAATCGTGTGTTGTGGAAGATTCTGTTTAGGAGAGGAAGGGTTGAAGGAAAGGTGTTTTAGATGAGGTAGCATTAGATCTAGGAGTCCCTGATTGTAGTCTTCTCTTAATAGTCTCCCTCTGTCTCTTCCTTTCATCCTGCCTTCAACAGTTACGTGCCAGGCATGGGGATATGTGCTGAGCCAAACACTTACCACGCCTTGAAGGAGCAGAGAGGCGAGCCCAGTTAGGACAGCTGTTCTTTCAATAGGAGTGTGGACTCTGGGGTTATGGGGAGAAGCAGGGAATGACTCAGGGCTGGCAGTCCAGTTGGGACGTTGTTTCAGTAGACCGGGGAGGACAGACTGGGAGCTTTGTTCAGGAGAATTGTAGTGGCACTGCAGACACGACGGTGTATGCAATTAACTGCTATCAGAGCTCAATACTTACTAGATGTTTACACAGTATCTGGTGTCCCTGGGTGGCACAGATGGTTTGTGCTCAACTGCTGACCTAAAGCTTGGCAGTTTGAACCCACCCAGTGGTGCTGTGGAAGAAAGGCCTGGCAGTCTGCTTCCGTAAAGATTACAGCCAAGAAAACCCTGCCAAGCAATTCTACTGTGGCACACACGGGGTCACTGTGAATTGGAATCAACTGATGGCAATGTTTTGCTTTGTTTTTAGAGTGTTAGAGCACGAACCTAAAAGCCAGACTGCTTGGGTTTATATCTTTGCTCCAGTTCTTACTAGGTGTGTAACCGGGAGCAAGTTATTCAGTCTCTCCGCCTCAGTTTACTTATCTGTAAACTAGGGACAATAATAGTACCTCCCCTACAGGGTTGTTGTGGGGGTTAAATGAGTTAATACGTATAAACTCTTACAAAAGTGCCTGGCGCATATTGGCCCAATAGAAATACAGACTATTATTATTAAATTACTTTTTCTAGTGCCACTAAACGAGGAAGGACTTCCCAAAGAAGAGCCAGTTGGTCCCACTTTTGCTGGGAACCGTATGTCCAGTAGTGTTTGGGGCAGAAGTGAACAGCTTTTCAGGACTATAAAATCATCACATATATCTGAATATTTCAGAAAGAAACCAGTAGCAGGCATTAAGAACCAACCCAGCTATCATTTTATTACTTTTCACTTCCGAACTTGGGATGAAATTTAAATAAATCTGTAAAAGTTTTAGAGGAGAAAAGTGTGTTCAGCAGTTGACAAATGTTCACGATTCAGAAATCTCTTTCAAACTTAAATCCAGGCCTTGGATGTCACTGGGGGAGAGAGAAAACCCCTGAGAGACTCATCTTCTATTTTTATTGTCCGAGCTAATGGCCCATGCGCACAGCTCCTCGGGGCTGAGCGTATTTTAGATAATGTGTGTCTTCCGAGGAAGGGGCTAGGTGAGTGTTTCCTGCTGGTTCAAGTCAGCGTTATTATTCCCGGGGGAGGAATACGAACAATCCTACTTTTTACCAACACATGCTGGTAAAAAACAAGTAAGAGCAGTATATAATGATCGAAAGAAATGATGAAGATGCTCTCAGTGTTCCAAGAAAATCCCTATGTTCATAATCAGATTTAATAATTTGTGTTTCTATAATGGTCTGTTCCTCATTAGCTATTCAGTGAAATGTTGTTAATTTTAAGCTTTATCCAGTATATGAAGAGCACCTATGCATCTTTGAACTCCCACATTTGCATATTTACATTATTAGTGGACTGATATAAAACAAAGAATAATAATAATTTCAGGGAGCTAATTAACAGATTTGGCACACTTTTTCTTTAAAAAAATAGACTTCGAACATCCCAAATTACTTCTTATAACCACAACAAAGGATAAATTCTGTGATCATATTAAATAATTAAGCTTCCCATTGTAGTGTGATCAAGAGTTGTTTTTTTTTTGTTTTGCTAGCTTCGTGACATAATTTTAAACACATTAATTCCAAACCACTAGGCATTTACATTTCAAACCATTTTAAATTTGGAGTTACCAAACAAGTGTGAAATTCATTTCTTGTTCCTAGTAAGTCTGGCCCTTCGCTCATTCACCTTCCTTGGCAAGGAAAACATAGTTCTCATGTGACAGACTCCTGCCTTCTGACCGTAGTCTCCCAGCCCCTTGCAGCCAAGGGCGCTGAGGTGGAAGCCTCCATATTTCCTGTGTCCCAGGGAACACCTCAGCCATGTCCAGCCATCACTACCAGATCACCTAAACCAGAGCGCCTAGTAGGGCCTAACCACATGGTGCCTTTGGCCACCATATTGTCACTGAGTTTTGCAGGCCGGCTTGGATCAATTAATTAGTAAATCTGGTTGAAGCAGAATGTAATTAATTATACAATATTGAGCCCTGCAAATTTATCCCCACTAAAATTGTATCATGAATCTGGAATATCATAAAGGATTGTCGGCAAAAGGAAAATAGCTATCAGTAAAGACCATTCTTGGTGAATCTGCTCTACGCTCCTTTGATTATCCAAGATTCTTGTGATTCAGGCATTTCTACATGTGGGCCACCATGTGAAAATCAAATAAACACACACACACACACACACACACACACACACACACACACACACACACACACATACATACACACACATACATACATATAAAACCAAACTCGTTGCCCTTGAGTCAATTCCAACTCATAGCAACGCTATAGGACAGAGTAGAACTGCCCCATAGGGTTTCCTAGCAGCGACTGGTAGATTCGAACTGCCAACCTTTTGGTTAGCAGCTGTAGCTCTTAAACACAGAGCCACCAGGGCTCCCAGTAAAATAGGTAAAAAGTACCATAATGCATATGGATATGGTAGCATCCATTTAGGATATTATTTCTAAGTAGTTTTCTGTATTGCTTACCACGTCATATTTAAAGCAAATCTTTTTTTTTTTTTAAAGCAGATCTTTTTTGTAGTTGTTAAAGCATATCTTCATGAGCATCACAACTGCAATTTTGCTTGAAATACAACATAGATTCAGTTGTAAGGATAAAATAATATTGAATAGCCGAATTATTATTCATTCAGAATTGAAAAAGGAATAACTTTTCCAATAAACGAATCTTCATATTAAAATGAATAGAAATACCTTTCTTATAGAATTTCATAGAGCTTTAATTGTGGTTTGGTTCTATTTTTTAAAGAAAAAAATAAAGTAAATGATTTTAGAAAATTAAGTATTTCAAATGTATTTTGGTATTGAATCTTTAACCAATAGGGAATTTATGATTTTGCATGAGTGTGGAAAGTCAAATGCATATTTAAAATATTATATGTAAATTATATATTTATGATGTATGAGAGAGAGGACAGACGAGGGAGGTAGGAAAGCTGTGAGAAGTTGTGGGTGGTGATAGATTTTCCATATGGGGATGCCCGTGTTCAGACTTAAGGTAAGTAAGGTGTTTAAGGAAATTTCGGATTCATCCAATGGACACTGATTGTTCGGGCTCACTTTTTTTAAAGGCTTTCTAAAACTGTTTTAAGAATTCTTTTGAGAAACCATATATTTCAACAGCCAGAGCCCCTTACCACGGAGTGAGATTGCCCAGCTTGTTTTGATTTGCATTGTTTACTGCCAAACCTCAAGAACAATTCAAGCTTTGCTTCCCTCTCGGTTATGCAAAACCGAGAACATGACTAATTAACACTCTCAAGTTGATAGCACCTTTGAAAGATTTTTGATCATTCGTACTGTAAATCTTCTCAGTGTTGATACTTAGGACACCAAAATTATTTTTCCCATTGACTAGCGAGTGCTTGTACAGTTTGTGAGTTTCAAAGATACAAATTCTAAATCTTGAGAAAAATAGCTTCATGGATGACCCATTAGATAATAAAAAGTCAGTAATGTCTGGTATATGGAATGTATCGATGAAAAATAATGCACATTTGTTATAGTTCCCGTATAATTATTTATTCTAGTTTGTATTACCTAAAGTGACTTTTCCCCTGATGTTCTTGTATAACTTATTTGATTTTATTTTTACGTTTTTCCATAAAAACAAGAGACGTGTCTCCTTTTTGTAGTAGCCAAGTGTATTAAGCACAGTAAATGATTAGATACAGGAGTTCTAACCATGTGTGTTCAGCGGATATTTAATTTCATGCATGCGTGAAAGAAAATAATGTGATTCCCAGGTACGAGATACTCCTTAACCGTTCACACTCAATCCTATTATCTGGAATAAAGCTAGATTAAACTTGCAGAATGGTGAATTACTGAAAGTAATGAAGTGAAGGCAATTCATTAATCTTTTATCTGCTTGTGTATTTTCCATAGCCTGGATGAAATGGAAAAATTCATTTGGGGGACCAGTGAGATTGAAAAGGGTCCAACATTACGAGGAGAAACACGGGGCTGAAAATGTTTTGTTTTTTTCTTTTTTAATTATACACAGCACCTTTTTCTTACATGCCTCTGTTTTTCTTTTAGTGGCAAAGCATTTCTATAACACTGGTTGAGAAAGTTCAGATGATTGCTGTAATCCTAGGATCCCTGTTCTTAATAGCAAGTGTGACTTGGCTTCTCTGGTCCGCCTTCAGCCCCTATGCAGTGTGGCAGAGAAAGGACATCCTTTTTCAAATCTGCTATGGAATGTATGGTTTTATGGATCTAGTGTGCATAGGTAAGACCGTGACGTTACACGCTAACAGACTGTCAGTAATCCGTTTCTTTCAGCTATTCTATTTTCGCCAGTCTTATCTAACACAGAATGTTGTGATTCACGTTATCTTGGTTCTCCAGTTTATTAAATATCTGAGGGTCAGAATTTGGCCACTTTTCTCAAAATAACAGCACAGCATCTATTTTCCCATGCAGTTAAAAAAAAACAGCAGGATAATACCCATTAAAAGTGACATATTTTGCAACGAAGAGGAAGAATTGAAGAAATTATTTGGGGGTGAGTGGTACTAGGACTGCCATTTATTTCTAAGGAATAATTGTAAGTCAGTCCTCCTTTGCAAAGCTGTAGAAGCATTGATTAAAATAAATGGCATTATCGTGCATCTGGAGAGGGGACAGACGCTTAGAGGTCTTACATCATGGTGCTGACTCAGCTGCCCCGAGGGTGTAAAGGGCTCTTTGGAAGGTTGGGGACTAGGAGACAGTTTTCTTTGCTGTGTTGGGTCCCTTGTTTCACTTAGTAAATTCAGTGGTTTAGGGGAGAAAAGGATTAAACATTTTAGCTAAATTAGACCCTACAAAAAGCTTGCTTATGTGTTTTACCTGACCTGGCTGTCCTTTTGCACATATCATGCAGTGTTTATGGGGAGATGGAATCGACTCAGCGGCAGTGGGTTTCGGGGGAGATACCAGAGGCACCGTGAGGGTGACCACTTGGCAGTGGGGGAGCCGGAGGGGGCACCATGATATCGGGGGCCTTCCCTGCTCTGATGTGGGTTACAGCTTGGTGGGGTGTAAAAGAGCCGAGGGAGGCAGCCATGGTTTAAAGCAGCGGCTCTGAAAGTGTGGCCCCTGGACCACCAGCAGCGTCTGCATCACCTTTCTGGACATACACATTCTCAGGCCCCACACGAGACCTTCCGAATCGGAAACGTCAGGGGTGGGGCCCAGCCATCTGTTTTCAGACACCCTCCAAGTGGTTCTGGTGCATGCTAAAGCTTGAGAGCCACTGGTTTCAAGAGATCAATGCTAAACTTTGGTTCAAATGATTTGGGTTCGAATCCTGACCTCTGCTTGGACAGATCAGCTTCATCTCTCCATTCCCTTCTTCTCTCACCTGTAAAAAGGGGATAATAATCCTTACCGCACAGGTGTAAATAGAGAAAATAATGATTACAAAACAGTTATGCTATTAATTAGATGTTGTAGATGAAGGGTAATTGAATAGGTCAGAAACATTGAAGTCACTTTGAAAACACTTAAATTACATGCCTGTAATCACCAGCCCTAGTTTAACTAGCAATTTCAATATTCTTGGTCACTTTTTTTTCTAAAAGAACTCTTTAAATTTTAAAAATCTGATCAACCTGAATTTTCACTCCTTTTCTTCTTTCGTCCCTTGTCATCCATGCAAGACAAGTAGGAAAGAAAAAGATCAAGTATCGGGCCAGGGAGAAAAAAAGGAGGGAGAGGAGTGTCCTGAATAATCTGCAAACTGAGCAGATGTTTCCTGAATAATTGGGCTAATCATGTATAGGAACGACTTGCATTAAATGTGAGAATGCATATGTCAGCATTTTGGAAATTCTCAATCTCTATACAAATATAATCTCTAGGGTAATAATCCATAAATAGAGAAGAGTCACAAAATTATCCTAGAAATCCCTCGACAAATTCAAAGAGCACTTCTTCTGTCTTTCACCGTGAATGTTGTAAAATGTGGTATTCCATTGACATGAAAGGAGAAGATGCAGAGCAAAAGAACCTTCAGGCTCCCAACCTAACCCGGAGGGAAGCAAGTCCAGTCGTTTTTCTTGATGTCATTATAGCATTAAAACAGATCATACATTTCCTGGTTAGGAAATCGTTTCATTGTATTTCACAACTTGGACTGAGTGCTGAGTTGTATCTTAACTTTTGATTGCTGATGCCAGTATTTTATTCTAGATTATTAGAATTCTAGTTTTAAAGGTACATACAATGAACTAATGGTCTCTGCAATATGGGACGTATTTGGGCTTCTCTTTTGAAATTCGAGTGTTTGCCCATTTTCATAAAGTCATGTTTCTCAGGAACAAAAAACATTGACATTTTCCTGGAGGCACTTTTGAGAGTGAATTTTTATCAAAGTTTTAAAGATTGACAATGCATTTCATTGTTGGCTCATCTAATCTAAATTTCATCATTCAGTAATCTATTTCTGTATTTTGAAGAATGTTAAATAATTCATATTGAATAACACTGTTTATTTCCCTTGGCAATCCCATTAATTAGTCTGTTTTAGCCCAAAGCAGATCTTTTTATTCCAAGAAATTGCGAAACTGCTATAGTCAAGAAAGTAAATACAGGTAGACTACCAATAGCCAGCTAGACTACAGCTGGTAATAGCTCCTGCTAATGGTTTGAATTAATTCAAATGCCTGCTAAGTAAATGTAGACAGTAACAAAGTAGATTACGTTGATTATACCGTAAATACCCCTGACTGGAAGACTTAAAATGAGAGTTAAGAGTGAAAAGCAGGTTTACAGCTTTGAGTACAATTTGTTTACCTCAGTTCAAAAAATATTTAGTGGGAACTTTCTATGTGCCAGACACAGCGCTAGGTGCTAGGAATACAAACTAGAATCAGTCTCTTTCCTGCCCCCAAGGAATTCATTGCCTCATGGGGAGCACGGTGGAATGTGCACAGTTGTGGACTTCTGTACAAGGAATGGTAGTTGGACTAAGACGGGAGAGATTAACCCTAGGGTGTGTTTGGAGTGCGGTGGGTGCAAGTGGTATGCAGGAGAGGGAAAGGTTTCAGGGAGATCTCATGGAGATGTGATAGCCAAACAGGCTAAAGGATGAATAGATGCTTGGCAAGTGGAGAGAGAGTTGTCCTTTCCCCACTGGAGGATGTGAGATTGGCTTCCTGTTCAGAGGGCTTTGAAGTGTTGGAAACATCCCATGGTCCCGTCTGTCCACACTCTTCAAGCATGATTTTACCAAAACGAGAAGGAATAAATGGGCAGCTTCATAAATGCTCTTTGAAGAAAGTAATTCCGAAAGTCGATGGACAATTATTCCAGAATCAAAAAATATATTATAATCCAGCCAATAAGTGTATAGGATGCTTAGGAACAGACTAGATTGTTAAATAGAAATTTAAGAAATTTATAGAAATTGCTTACTTGGGGAAATTTGTTTACTTATTTTCAGAAACAGTGAATTTGTTTGTTGCTTTCATCCTTTTTGCCAAAATTTAGTTTTTTCTTGCTATTAATGTTTCAGATTCTCCCAACTGTTGTAGCTGACATATCTAGACCACCGCTCTCCAATAGGACTTTCTGTGGTGATGATAATGTTTCCTATCTGTGCTGTCCAGTGCGGTAGCCAGTAGCTACAGCTGGAGATTGAGCACTTGGTGACACTGTTGTGAGCTGCCATCAAATCGACCCCAACGCCTGGAGACCCTGTATGTGTTAGAGCAGAACTGTGCTTCATAGGGTTTTCCGTGGCTGATTTTTCAGAAGTAGATCTCCAGCAGTTTCTTACGAGGAGCTTCTGGGTAGACTTGAACCTCCAACCTTTCAGTTAGCGGCTGAGCACGTTAACCATTCGCAGCACCCAGGGACTTAGTAAGACTAAGAGACTGAATTTTATAATTTATTTTATTTGAATTAATTTTTAAGTTTATTTAAATAACCACATGTGGCTAGTGGTTACCGTGTTACACTGCACAGATTTTGATGGTGTAACGGTTTGGTGAAAAGTTTCATCTTATGGCAGAGTGGTTAAGTGTTTGGCTGCTAACCAAAATGTCGGCAGTTTGAATCCACCAGCTGCCACTTGGGAAACCCATGGGGCAGTTCTACTCTGTCCTGTAGGGTCGCTTTGAGTCGGAATCAACTCGATGGCAATGTGTTTGGTTTGGTTTTGGTTATATGTATAGATGGGTTTTATTTCCTAAATGATAAAGAAACTCTGTGTTCCAAGAGAGAGGAATGAAGTAAAAATGAGTTCCAGAGGATTAAGAGAGGGCATCAAAAGTGAGAAGGAGGGTACAAAGAATTGGACAGAGAGAGTCATAACGGGAAACATGTTTGGTGGATGACTCTTTTCCATTACTGAAATCTTTTAGAAGACTTCTGTGGGTCAGATGTGAATTTAATTTTCAGTCTACATTTATTATACAATTCACATTCATTTTAAGGAAATAGAAGTACAAACAGATATTACAAAGAGATATAACTTTATATTGTATTTGGAGAGCTCTTTTAAATATTTAAATAGATGGCATTCAGACTATGACTGTGCACTAGGGAAACCAATATAAATGATTTAAATCAGTGGCAGTAATTTAGGGAGAAGTACTCACCAAAGCAGGCTTGTGTCGGCTCCCTCCTAAAATGATTTGCACAGTGGACAAAGGAAGATTAACAAACCCAGAAGTGGAGAGCAAACGCATGGTGGAAGGCACTGGGCACAAGATTCGGTTCTTAACGCCATGTTTTCCACATGGAGAAAAATCGAAGAATATCGCTTCCATTGGTGGTGTGATTCAAAGGAAATTTTTTACCATAAGAGGAATATGTTTATTAATGACTCTAAAATCATGGGAATAAGAGACAGCCATGTGAGGACAGGGAGTCATTTGATTACTTGTCTCTAAAAGGGTTAGGGCCATTACAAAGTCATTTTAGCGTCTAGTAGAACCAGATGAGGTGCGTGTGGTTTCTTGTATAAGCAACAAACTAAAACCCTCTCATGTTAGTGGGATTCTTGAAACAGAGACAGCAGTGCTTGTACCTAATCTAATTAGCAGTATAAGTTAATGCCAAATCCATGTCTGAAAAATATTTTAATCATAGCTGAGATACTAACGGAAAGAATTGGTTGTGGTTATGAAATTAAATATCTCGGACTCCTCTTGTTCTTTCTTTAATTTTTCAATTGTCCACATGATACATATATAATTCAAATAAAAATAAACACATTTTGTGTTTATAATTGTGGAATGT